AGTGACATTGACTACGCTCTTCTAATTGTGCTGTTATTCTCACGAAAATAGGAGACTCTTAAAGAGTAGTGATGAGGACTAGCCCTACCAAATAATACATTCAGATAGATTGTTCCTGTTTGTTTATGAACAGATTCCCGAGTAGGAGCATTGGAGGGCTTGCCAGACATAAAAATCATGGAAATAGTTGACTGTAGGAATTTTAGATTTTTTTTAACATCAGAGCTCTGAACAACAACCTAGGAAATGCTGTTTTAAAATTAATATCCTTAATGTAGAGTCAGTAAGGAAAAGATGGACACAGACAAATAGACATAAAGCAGAGGTAGTTCATAAAGGCAGAAATAGACGTGGTCAGTAGACAAGGCAGGAAGGTCGTCACGAAGAAGATGAAAAGGGTACTCTCACATGTCACAGGTAGAAGGCACATTTGTACACCCTCCTGAAGGGCACTCGGGATTCCGTGAGCCTTAAAAATGTTCCCACTGTTTGGGAATTTATCCTAAGGAAGTCGTGTGTAAAAATGGTGGTGGCAGCATCTGACCTCCTGTGACTTCATGAGGGAGAAGGAGAATGAAGATAGCAGCCCAAGGCTGATTGCTGTGAGGCAGAGGTCAGACATGCCTCCTCCCGCCAGCCTTTTTACCAATTCTGACACCAGCTGTCCCTCCCACAGGAACTCTTCATTTCTCTGCTAGGTTCGATAATTTGTTGCAGTGGCCACACACAACTCACAGACAGTACTCAGGATTATGCCATTTATTAGGGAAGTAACAGGTTACAATTCAGGTTCAGAAACTCTCAGGATACAGTTCTTCGATCAGGACGACCTCTTCTCAGCCATGCCTGTTGACTTGCCTCTCTCTGGCCCCTTGACCTCTGCCCTGCTCAAGCGTTACAAAGCTGTTTTAGTTCTGCTGATAAGTGCTCAGAGACACCCAACTCTGCCAATAAGCCTCAGCTCAGAGGCACTCAGCTCTCTCGCTCTGTGGGTTGATAAGCCTAGCTCTGCTGCCAGTGCCCAGAGGCGCCCCACTCCACCAGCAAGCCTCCTGCCCAAAGGCACTCGGCTTTCTCACTCTGTGGGCTGGGAACTCACTACACCATCTCCTGCCAGTCTCCTGATTCTCCTGCCGCAGTTTCTCTACCTCTGCGTCTCACTGTCTGTGGTGTTACAGCTCTCCCTCTGCGTCTCCTGGATGTAGGAGGGTCTCAGCGCGGAGATCCTGGGTCCAAAGGACATGCTGTGCTCCCATCACTTCTTGATGGTAGTCAGGCTTGCCCCCGGAATTGGCTCTCTTTTAAGCCTAACAGGATGGCAAAACTGACCAGTCCCTTTTTTGGGGTTCCATACACACCTTATTTGTGTGGTCCCACCCACACAGGGTTCCATGCATGTTATTTGCATTATTAGCAAGCTGTCCAATCCCCTTGGTGGTCCCCGGCACCTCATTTACATGGTCCCACCCCAGTCATTGTGTGGGAGTCACAAAGACTGTGACTAGAAGGGCCATATTAAGTAATTCACTGAACTGTATAATGAGACATGTTCACACACATTTTATTGTGAACATTATTCATAGTGAAAGAAGAGAAACTGTATCCCTCGGGGAATAATTAATTTGTGGTGTATTCCTACAGTGGGATTTTACAAAGCCATTTAAAATTATGTATTTTAAGAATACTTACTGACTTGAGAAAATGCATAAAACTCATTATAATTGAAAATAGGGAGAGAGAAAAGTGTTTGATGCAACACGATCCCAATTTTGTGTGAATTAAAAAAAGGAAGACAACCAGAAGGAACTGTGTCAACCTGGAAACAGTGTGTATTGCTGGGTGGTGAGATAATGGCTTTTGTTTTCCCCTTCTCTGCTCTTCTGCATTTCTGTGTCTCCTGTAGCAGGTTTGTAGCTCTATTAGGAAAAATTGAGCTGCATCTTTTATATTCTTTCTGTCTGCCTTGCATTTACCAGAAGTCAGACAGCTTGCCTTATGCCATGGAGTTCTTCGGCAGTTTAAGGATGGTGAGGACTCTGGGGTTACCTGGAAGTGGTTACACTGCATGTTACCCCTAGCCGAGAGCCTGCTGGAGCGGGGAGGCGTGTGGTTGAGCATCACGGTGGGCCGGGAGGATAACACAGACTTTCTGACTTAAGTAGGGTTGAGGTACATTGCAGTCTGCCCTTGTTCCCCATTTTTTTTTTTTTTTTTTTTTTTTGGGCGTGTTTTCCCAGGAAGATGCACTTGGAGGCTTTTTATTTGATTGCAGACATGATGCCTGGGGATTCTCCTCGTTACTTTGCTCGCTTCCCCCTCCCAGAAGCCTGCCCTCCACACTTCCCCTTCCTGCCCGCTCCCAGATTAGCTCTCCCTCCTCTTTGGGCATCGAGCAGCTCTTGTGTGCCTGGGCCGGAGGGTAGCCCGCCATTGTGGCCCAGTGCCTCGTGTGCGATCTCCCTCACTCAGCCGAGGTGTGGTGCATGCCCGCGGTCAGGCACAGCAGCTGTGAGGGAGGAGGCACTCGGCAACTGGTGGAACGACTGAGAGGGTGCCCTCCTCAGCTCTGCTCCCTGTGACCCTGGGTCAGTCTTTTGTCCCCACCTTGCAGGGTATGGCGCTAAGGTCATCTCATGGAGGAGATTGTTACACAGGCGATCAGTGAGCGCCTTTTCTGTAGAGCAGTGTTACCCACGCCCACAGCCCCACACCCAGAGTCTGGTTTTCCCTCAGAGATGGTTCAGAGGGTGTCTATGCCAGCTAAGAAAATTTTGTTAAACTAGCTTCTGCAATTTTCCCTGTAAAACTTTTTCACTTTCCAGGTGTAAAATTAAGAGGGTAATGCAGTTTGTCAAGCCACACCCTCAGCCTTGCCCAAGATTCTGATATGCCACTTAGCTACAGGTCTCTCCCCGTTTTTGAGAATTCATCATTGTGGTAGAAATACGTATATTCACGCAGATTTTTGGCAAAAACAAAGCTAATGAGAAGCACATGGTGGAAAACACAAGGTACGCACAGCCAAAAGGGAGTGCGGCGGCAGATACCCCACTGCTGTGCCCAGAGATGGCATCGCAGTGCGTTCCACATAAAGAGGGCAGAAGGGCCGATTCCTCATGCACGTCCAGGAGGGATTTTGTAGAAGAGAAGCTTTGATGGGTGCGGTGATAGATTTTCCTAAAAGCAAGGATTTATTCGTTTGCTCTGCAGATGTCTGCAACGTTCAAAAGCCCTTGGACTGTTTCCATTTTCATCTCACACATTGCACTAAATGGAAGCAGTTAGCCTTTGCAGGAGCTGAGAGTGGTGAGGGCGGGAGCAGTCAGGAGAGCGTGCATCCAGCATGGTCTGCAGAGGCACAGTCAGCAGGCATTGGGAGCGGCACCTAGAAATCATGGAAGGGGAGTAAGGGCCTTGATGCTGGAGGCATAGAAGGACCGTTTCAGGTGCCCCCCTTCAAAGGTCGCATGCCAGAGAAGCTGACAGTGGAGCGGTGCCTTAACAGCACTGGGGACACAGGACAGGAGCTGGCAGCATTGCTCTGGGGACATGTTGTGTGAAGGTCCCCGTGGGGCGTCCATACAGGAGTGAACGTCAGAATCCTTGATGCGCTCAGCAGTGCGAGAGGTGTGTGTTGGGCGTCCTCCACATACGGGTGCAACCATAGTTGGAGGTGAGGTTGCCAAGGAGGAGAGTGAGGCCCAGACTAAACCTCGAGGAGCCTCCTGAATTTAGAACTTGGGAAGGAGAGGCAGAAACGGGGCTGAGAGGAGGAAAGTGGACGCCAGTGCCGACCACGTTCCAGTTCTGCCACAGCCGAGACGTCTCGTCTTTGTATGTCGTCAGCTCCATTCCAACTCAGAGCCACCCTGTGGATAGAGTAGAGCTGCCCCTTGGGTTTTCTAGGCTGTAACCTTCACGAGAGCAGATGGCCAAGTCTTTTCTCCTGCGGAGCTGCTGGATGGGTTCAGGCTGGCAACCTTTAGGTTAGCATTCGAGTGCTGAACCATGGCACCACCAGGGCTTCTTTTCTGTCTAGCGTTAGTAGAAGCTATGTAAGCACTGACAGTTTTAGAATCTTAACTGTGCCTCAGTTTCCTCATCTGTAAAGTGGGAATAATAGTACTTACCTCAAAAGGTTGTTGTAAGGATTAAATGAGTTAAAAACTGAAATCGTAAAACAGGGCCAGGCCCAAGTAAATCCTAAATAAGTATTATTCTCCGTGCTCTGGGTATATCAGTGTAAGACTTCGCTGCAGAAAATCAAGTCACAACCACGGCTAGCCCTAAGGAGACCTGGTGTGCCTTTCTGCCCAAGAGGCCCCATCCCCACAGGCAGGCCTTCTCCCTTGCCAGCTCACTGCTTTGTTTACAGTGTCATCTCTCTTAGACGTCATTCTGAAACCCTTTATAGTGGAGACCTTTACTGCTGGTTTGGGTTTGGGACCTTGGGTATCTCTGCCCGGGGTAGTTGTTTTAAAAGCGCTGAATATTCGAATGTGTTATTAGAACTAGTGGTTTAATAGAGGACCCGAACCCCATGCTTCCCATAAGCAGGCATAAATGTTGGGCTTTTTTCACCAGGAGGCGGCAAGCCCGGCTGCAGAAAGAGCTCGCGGAAGCGGCGAAGGAGCCTCTGCCCGTTGAACAGTAAGTGGAGACACGTGAGCTGTGTAGCTGTGCTGTTTATTTAATTGGCCCTTTGGAAATAGTTTTATAATGCTTTTATTTGTTTAAAACCCTTGTACAGATTTTTCAAAAAGAAAATGCAGAAGCTTAACGGAGAAAATAAAAAGCACTTCTGCCACGCAGAGGTACATCCGTATATTGTTTCAGGTGTATTTTGGTGGCTTCTGAACTGTCACTGTTGGGAATGGTGCTCGGAATACGGCCTTTGGCCGTCCTTCTGATTGCTTCCTCAAGACACGTTCTTGGAATAAACTTTTGAGGGTCTAAGCTCTTGGAGCATGTTGCCAGATTACCTTCCAGAAGGGTGTTCTGGTTGACACTCTTCATTAGCTGTAAGGGTGAATTCCAACTCCCTGCTCCCTTCGTGAATTCCAGCCTCACCGTTTCCCGGTTGACACTTAGTATATCCCATTTTCTACCCCTCATTGGGGCCATCGCCGTGGAATGCTGGGCTGGGGGTCTTCCTCTTGCCCCCTTTTGGTTTGTGAATTTAAGTGGAAGTCTGGCCACGTCTTTGAAGCAGAGATGGCTCTCTGGGAACAAATGGAGTGGAATTTGTTCTGGAGCTTTTCCTCATCTGCCTAGGAGTAGGAGATCCCCACTGAGATTGGAGGCTTTGTCTTCAGGGTGGGTGTTTAACAGCTAAATTCCCTTTGATCTGGTTCAAGGGGTGTTTCTTTTCTGTTGAAATAAGTGTTAGAATATAGTATTAGAGTGATGATCCACTGTTTGAAAAAGTGTTGGTTGTTTCGTTTTCAGTGGAGGGGAGTGGTTTAAAATTCAGTGGGATCATCCACCAGTCGAAGGTCTTCCTTTACAAGAAAACAGGAGTCTTCACACCAAGCCAGTGCTTGGTTGGAGGGTGTGTGCTTATTTCTGTACTCTCAGGTGTGGAAAATTAATCTCAGACTAACTCCCCCCACCCCCCAAAGCCACAAAGTAGGTAAGTAAATTGTTGACCTGGATATGAGATTTGATTCCTTAAAAACAACAGCCTAAAACGTGTCATTTGCCCACCTTCCAGTTGTCAGTTGCTCTCTCTCCACCACTGCTGTTCTCCTGGCGGTCCCTGTGTGAGCACAGCTGGCTCCCCAAACTGCACGAAAGCCAACCAAGGAGAAGATAAAATGCACAGCCTGGGTTAATTCTACCTGCCTTTGCTCTCCTACATCCAGGCCAGAGTTGGGGCAGAGTTACATGTACTCCTAGAATAAGTGGCCAAGGAAAATAAATATACTTCAGCTTAGTTTAAGTTGCTTAGTAACAAGTCCTTAAGTATATATTTACCTAATCCAGATAATTAATCATGGGACAATCTTGTTTGTAAGTTCTTACCAATCCTGACAGTCTTGGGTTATGACATTTTATTATTTTACTTCCCCACAAAGATGACAGCTCTGTGGGAGGTTATTAAGACCAAAGTAATCACTTACCTTTCCCTCAGCCAGGAAAGATGTGGCCATAGGAACAGGGAGGAGGGGATTCCAAGGGTGCTGGCAGCCCTCTGAGAAGTGGGTAAACACAGGAGCCCACACGTCTTCCTGTGACGTCATTGAAACAGGACAGACTCTGCAAAGGTCAGGAGTGCCAGGCATTTAAACACAGGCATAGAATACCCGGAGCTAAAAACGAACTGCGTTGAGATTTTGCTTTTCTGTTTTTTTTTTTTTAGCCCCAAAACTAAACCCGTTGCTGTCGAGTTGATTCCAGACCCTAAAGAACAGTTTAGAACTGCCCCATAGAGTTTCCAAGGAGCACCTGGTAGATTTGAACGGCCGATCTTCTGGTTAGCATTCGTAGCTCATAACCACTACACCACCAGGGTTTCCTTTTAATTAAAGTGATATTTAAAAATGAGCCGTAAATGCAACCCTGGATTCCGTTACCCTTTTAGCAGTCCCCTCCCCCCCTTTTTTTAATTGTGCTTTAGATGAAGGTTTACAGAGCAAATTAGTTTCTCATTAAACAGTTAATACACATTGTTTTATGACATTGGTTGCCAACCCCACAACGTGTCAACACTCTCCCCTTCTCGACCTTGGGTCCCCACTTCCATTCATTCAGCTTTCGTGTCCCCTCCTGACTTCTCGTCCTTGCCCCTGAGCTGATGTGCCCATTTACTCTTGTATACATGGTTGAGCTGTGCTTATTATTGTTTTTATGCACCTGTCTAATCTTTGGCTGAAGGGTGAACCTCAGGAGTGACTTCAGTACTGAGTTAAAAAGGAGTCTGGGGGCCATACTCTTGGAGTTTCTCCAGTCTCTTGTCAGAACAGTAAGTCTGGTCTTTTTTTGTGAGTTAGAATTTTGTTCTACATTTTTCTCCAGCTCTGTCCGAGACTCTCTGTTGTGATCCCAGTCAGAGTAGTCAATGGTGGTAGGCGGGCACCATCTATTTGTGCTGGACTCAGTCTGGTGTAGGCTGTGGTCGTTGTGGTCCATTAGTCCTTTGGACTAATCTTACCCTTGTGTCTTCGGTTTTCTTCATTCTCCCTTGCTCCCGAAGGGGTGAGACCAGTAGAGTATCTTAGATGGCTGCTCATAAGCTTTTAAGACCTCAGACACTACTCACCAAAGTAGGATGTAGAACATTTTCTTTAGCAGTCCCTTTTTTTAAGGATCCCTGGTGGTGCGGTGGTTAAGCACTCAGCTGCTAACCTAAAGGTCAGTGGTTCGAACCCACCAGCCACTCCATGGGAGAAAGATGTGGCTGTCTGCTTCTGTAAAGATTACAGGCTTGCAAACCCCATGGGGCGGCTCTGCCTGTCCTGTAGGGTCACTGTGAGTTGGAATGGACTTAATGGCAACGGGTTTCTTTTCTCACCTGCGTTCTTGTCCCTGTGCTGTCGTTCTCTGGTGCTCCATGGCTGCCCCTTTGACACTGTTGTGTGGGCCACTCAGCCCTGTCTGATGGGACCTGGTTTACTGGTGAGCCCCGCAGTCACACTGTTGTGTGGGCCGCTCAGCCCTGTCTGATGGGACCTGGTTTACTGGTAAGCCCCGCAGTCACACTGTTCATGTGTATGAGCCCATCAGCTGGGAACCTGACTTCCGATGGGAAGGCTGTACCCTGGTGCTGTGTGTGTGCTCACAGACTTAACATGCGTTATTTCATTGCTCTCCAAGCGGGAGCTATGTGTTTACACCTCGAAGGATCCAAAGCTCACTTTAAACATTATTTTCAGTTGGAATTCTGGATTTGATTGGAGCAGGTCAGTATTGCCTTTATTATTGCCCAGAGCGTGGCAGAGCGCTCTTTTTCTCCAGAGAACCGTTAACCATCCCTGCCCTAGCCAGGTCACAAAGGTTGTGTGCGACTAGGACATGGTGTTAGCACGTGCAGAATCATCACAAAGCTTCTGGTGGGCAGAATCAAAGCCTCGGCCTCTTGCCCTTCCTTCGTAGGGACGATGACATTGAAGTTCTCCCGGACGAGACCTCGGAGCAAGCTGAGGAGACCTCTCCCGTGCGGGCCATCAGCAGAGCGGCCACGTAAGTGGGCGAGGTGGGGCAGGACAAGGAGCGCCGGCCGAAGCTCGACAGCACATGTTTGGGCGTGCCCAGAGACCCTCTCGGGAAGTGGGCAGGCTCCTGGATGTCCCCCAACCTCCTCGGGTCACCTGCCTCTGATGGAAGGGAAGCTGCTCCCTTAGTGCTGACAGGCAGCTATAAAGGGAAGCACCCAGGTGCGAGCAGGTGTCTAAATACATAAAACATAGTGGGTTCCTGAAAGAGGGGCATTGTTTAGACACACTGCTTAATCCTTCCTTGGACTCAAGGATTGTTTTTCATTTGCTACGGCTATACTAAAAGGATGAGGATTGGTCATTAACAACAAATTATTTGGTCGATTAGACAGTTTCTTCATCTAAACAGTGTCTCTGGGGACATGAATGCTTGGGAACCTCCTGGGCTGGGTTTCCCCCATCGCTCTGCACTGCTGTCTGGTGGTTTGCTAGAGTGCGGGGTTTCTACTCGGCCGGGTTTAGGGGAGTAAAGGGGAAACAGGCTCCTGGGTGCCTATTTTGTGGACTGTTTGTATTGATGGATGATTTGGGCAAAATGTTTCAAAGGTTTAAACCTATCCTCCCCTCCTCTTTAGTAAGCGACTCTCGCAGCCTGCTGGAGGCCTTCTGGACTCTATCACTAATATCTTTGGGTAGGTTAGACACATTCGCCTTGCCTTGTAATGTTTGTGTAAATATACCTAAGTGTATGTACATGGGTTGTTATTTCTTAATGTACACCAGAATTTTAGTGGGGCAGGGTACACAGATGCCTCAATTTCAGCTTTTCATTTAGCTTCTTCTTTCTCCCTCAACTTCCTTTCTCTTAATTTCGCTGCGTGCTGATCTCTGGCCTTTCCCTTTAGTCTGTCCGAGTCTCCCCTTTTGGGACATCACTCTTCTTCCGATGCTGCCAGGTGAAAACCGCTCTCCTGTCTTAGCCCAGCATGTGAGTGTGGGTGATTGACAGCCATGCTGATCACGCTTCACTGCACAGTCACCAGACATACACGTGCTAACCAGGATGCTTTGCATGTTCCTGGGAATGCAGGGAGCCCGGCGGAGCGGGCCGTGGGCTGAGCTCCGTGGACAGTCGTGCTCTGCTCGCTCGCTCTTTGGGCATGCATTTGGCCCCGCCTGGACCGCGAGGGGAAGGCGGGGAGTGAGTGTGAGTGGGCAGAGAAACCCTCCTCAGTGTCTTCACAAACGCTCCGGAACTAGCTGTCACATTACTTGTGTGGACTGAGCACTGTCATTCAGGATGGCTGTGCAGTTGTGAGTGCTGGAGTCAGTCAGTGAGACAGTGAGCCCAGGTTTGTCTGGGGCCCTTCAGTTGTCTTATGAGTGAAGACACTTCCGATTCTTGTGAAGCGTTCTGGTGTAAAGGACCTAGAAGGGAAAAGAAGCTATTGGCGAGGGCAGTCTGCCTAAGCCAGGTTGTCCTTGACCTCTTCTGATAGTCGGATGAAGCCAAGCCCTGTGCAGCCGTGACTCATGTGTTCCTTCCTGTCATTCCTCAGGAGACGCTCCGTCTCTTCCCCTCCAGTGCCCCCAGACAACATGGACTCTCATCCTGGCTCCAGTAAAGACGTGAGGGTGCCAGCTACTGCGCTGTATGTCTTCGTAAGTGTGGTCGATCCCCAGGCCCCGCCAATCTTGTTGTGGTAACAGAGCCTGGTAGTTGGAAGATCCTGTTCACGGACACTCTTCTGCTGCTGTGCTTCCCATTGCCTCATTCATAGCAAGCTTTCTGTCTGCTGGCTCCTCTGGTGGAAAGAATTGATCTGTCTCGCTTAGCTTCAGAGGACAGGATTTAGGACAGCCATCCTCGGCAACACAGGACTGGCTAAGAGAGTGGAGGATTGCCAGAGGGATGGGACAAGGGAAAGCTAGTTGTGATGGGGGAGAAATCTGAGTGATTCACGCACTTGCTGTCACCAGTTGGCTCCAGTGTAGAGTGAGGGTCTGGTCAGTGGTTCATCATGGAGACCAGAAGGACGGCTGCTGGCTTCCTGAATTATAGCCTTACCTGAATGACCTCCGACACTAGGCGCATGTGGCTGGAAGGAGGACACAGTCCTGGGCAGGAGCCGCTGTGACACCAGAGCTGCCAGCTGGAGTTCAGAGCAGGCCCTAGTGCTGCTAAGTAACTCAGATCCCAGATGGGGCAGTGACCCTGAAATGGAGCCCGTCTAGGGGATGTAGAGGTCTGTGGCTGAGGGCTATCGGGGTACTGGGGGACGGGCAGAGCCCAGAGAGCAGAACCCAGAAGGCTGGGCCAGATCTTGGATTAGCCCCTAAAGTCTGCTGTATCCCCAAGATAGAATGCCTGTGCAGTTACCTTTCAGTTCTAGGCATAAGGAGGAACTGCAGTAATTAGGCATTTCCACAAAGGGAACAGGCTGGGAGCTGAACTACCCTGGGTGTGTAAAGGGAGTCCCCCTGCGGATGAGATGTTGGACTAGAGACCATCAGGCCCCTCCCCACCCCACAACTAGGATTGCCTGTCGGGCCTGGGCAGTGCACGGAGGTCAGTGATGATTGGTAAAAGGTCTGACTGCACTGAACGTCATAGTCCTTCCTTGCCCTTGACTCCCAGCAGCCCATTCGTTTCCTCATGTCACATTTAAGTCGTGTGTATGGGGTCTTGGCGCAGCTGACAGTTTGGGACTCTGTCAGTGTGTGTTCCTGAGAGCTTAAGGTTCACAGCTGACAAGCGTCTGACAGAGCAGTTCTGCAGGAGGCTTGTGAGGGCAGGCAGGCGTGACGGTGCGTGATCTCAAGTTTTCAATCTGAGACCTCCTAAGCAGTGAGAGAGAAGGAGGGAAACACGTGCAAGTGGGAAGTTGAGTCAGCTGCCCTGCAGATTTTCCCCAGTGAGACACCAGGCCACCACGCAGGTCCTGACAGCACGAGGCCTCCTTCCCCGTCATGTAGTAGTCACTCATGGTGATACGGCAAGCATCTTCTTTTTTCAGTCTCAAGCAAGTGTGAAGATCAGATTTGTCTTCCCCAAACAACCTTTTAGGCATGTGATTGAGGATCTATCTAATGAGCTAATGTTTACAGCCTGTGTTTTCCAAAGTCTTTTTCCCCCTTTTTTATTATGGGAAATTTCAAACCTCTGCAGCAGAGAGAATAATACAAAACTCTCATGTACCATCACCGAGGCACACAGCTTCCGGTATCAACATCTGCTGGTCTTTTTGTCCCTCCCCCACCCCGCCCCCACACACCCCTTTGCTGGGGCAGCTTAAAGCGAATCACAGACATCCTGTTTCACCCATGAGAGAGGAGGCTAGGGTGAAATCTCCCGTTGCTCCCTCTGCCCGTTGTAGGATGGGATGCATTTCTCATCCTGAACGCAGATGCCCTTGCCAGGTCATGTATTTCAACGTTGATGCCAATCTCAGGAATTTCCCTGTGAAGAATTTAAATTCTCACAAAATAATAATTGTCACTTTCGTTGAAGGCCTCCTTATGGCCAGGCACAGTTCCAGGTGGCAAAGCCTATGGAAATCCTTTTTTATAGGTGAGCAAGCCGAGGCTTTGCGAGCTTCAGCTTGGCAGAGGTCACACCAGTGCCACAGTGCCTCTAGAAAGAACTGTAACTCGCATGTCGGGCAGGACTGGATCCACCCTTGTTTCAGGATGCGTGTTTAAACCTTTAGTGAGGAGCCCAGAGGGTTGACGTTCGTGGGGAAGCAGTAGGCTTTGTTGACCGTGACCCTGACTGGGCCTAGCACGCGCTTGTCTTGCAGGATGCACACGACGGGGAAGTGAATGCCGTGCAGTTCAGTCCTGGCTCCCGGCTGCTGGCCACTGGTGGCATGGATCGCAGGGTCAAACTCTGGGAAGTGTTTGGAGGTGAGAGCCTGCCTGAGTGGAGAGAGGGACGCTGTGTCAGTGATGTCACTTTATGTGGGGGATCATCTAACAAAACATTGCTCCCGCTTCAGTTTGCTTTCCATTTGGTGGATGTTTGCTCCCATTTTCCAAGTAATGACTAGAAAGTACTATTGTGGATGTGTTTGCGTGAGTAAGGTTTCATAATTTTTCTCAAGTACACACTAATCAGAACATCTTCCAAGATAGTACTAGTTTTCAAAGGAAGATAAAAGATCTCGGTGTCATGGGTTCTGCCATTCACCTGTACGTGGGGCTGTGGTTTCTGCATTTAATAATGACTGTAGCCATCGCCTGGAAAAGACAATTGGCCAGAGTCACATCTAAGCTAGAGAAAAGTAAAGGGGTGTGTATCACCCAGGACAAATGTGTCAAATAAATGACCCCTCAGACAGGCCCCTAGGCTGAAATTAAATCTTTGTGGTTGATGCTTGTTTACAAGTGATCCTTGTCCTCAGGAACAGCATTAGAACCGGAAACGGGAGTTCATGGCACCATCTGTTAGGACTCTGAAGCTGCTCAGAGCCCAGTGTCGAGATGATTTTTGAAATTCTTTTAGTTAAATGGATGCATATTTTCAGTGTTAAGGTTTAACCACTTGTCAAGTTTCCGTGGTTGCTGCACGTACATTGTCACAACGTGAGCGAGCCTTGGAAACATCATCGTGAGGGAAGTCAGTCAGAGCCAGACAACAAAGCTGATGTGATCTCACTAATGTGAAGCACCTAGAACAGGCAACCACATGGAGATCCGAGTTTAACAGTGGCTCCCACGGGGGAGGGGGCGGGGGTTATTGTTTAGGAAACTGAGGTTTTGTTGATGGGGATGGATAGTTCGGCAGAGGCTGTTGGTGATCATAGCACAGCATGATTGATGCAGTTGATCTCACTGAATTGTAAACATGAAAAACGTTGACTTGGCAAATTTTGTGTCATCTATATTTTTACAACGATAATATATATACACATATGTATGTTGGGTTTGTCGAGAAACACCGAATGAATTTAGGAATGTTAATGGCTGACACTGTTAGGAAACCATACTAAAACCATGTATGAATAGGGATTTTATGAGGTCAGTTTTTTACATCTAAGCAGAGAGTCTGTTTTGATGACAGCCTTGAGTTCTCACAGCAGTGACACTGGAACCCTCTGTTGTACTCCTTGGTCAGCAGAAACATCTGTAAGAAGAGCTCAGCGCTGCCCGGCTGTCATTCTCCAGCAGTGTTACCTCTTTGCTGTGAAGAGGAAATAAACACTAATCAGAGTTAACACTGGTCTGACTTACACCAAGGCGTAATGTGTGTTAGGAAGATCAGGAGTCTCTGCTGGGCCTCCTGAGTGATGAGTGGAATGTTTGACGGTGCTTCCTGGGGTTCTGGGAAACAGCCGTCAGTCAGGTTGTGGTTAACTCAGGGCCTTTTATCCACAGACAGCTTATTGCTGTCTGCAGTTTTTCCTCCTTGGCAAAGCCCAAGTCCAAAAGGCTTTTTATGAAACAGTTCAGGGATCCCCTTCTTCCCCTTGTGAAATGTCGGAATGGTGACAGTGTCTGCCCACTGGGCACACTGGCCCTCACTGTGTCAGAAGCAGAAGGAGGGTGTCGTTAGCCTCTGTTGCTGGCTCCCGTTGTAGTTCACAGGTCCTGTCTGAGCTTATTTGCTGGCTTTATGTAACTTTCTGTCTTGCCTCTGCCTTTTTTTCTTTTTATGCAGACAAATGTGAGTTCAAGGGGTCCCTCTCTGGCAGTAACGCGGGAATTACAAGCATTGAATTCGATAGTGCTGTAAGTATCTCAGACTCGTGCAAATGGTTGATTTTAGAGTCTTTTTTAGAGACAAGTAAGACATTTGGTTCTTGAAATTGAAAAATAATTTATCTGATTTCTCTTCCATTCTCTGCATTTTCAGTCAGATCCCTGTAGGAGAAGGATATGGGTAGATAATAGAATTAATTGCTCCATCTGCTCTGATGCTTGGGATTTTGTTTTCTGCAGGAGGCCTGTGATGTTGCTGAGTACTCTGTCGGATTGTGAGTTTCAGATGCTGAACTCTAGGAGCCAGTCTTTAGACATAAAATAGATGTGTCCCTCTCTCACAGGCGAAGCACTTAAATGAGAGCACTCAGCTGTGAATCAATGTAATAAGGTTATGACTGAGATGTGTGTGAAGTAGTACCCTGATGACGGCGTAATGAATTCAGGGGCGAGGGTTAGGGAATAAAAGTCGGCGTTTGAGGCCGACTGAGGTGATTGAGGGTCAGGTGCAGAAAGTGAAGGAAGGATGTTGTGGACAGCGGCGTTTGGATAGGGCTGTGCAGTAGCTGGGGCGGGGGCCGTGGCAGGCAGGGGAAGAGTAACTGCCTCCTCTCTCACAAGTCATCATCTGCATTGCCATCTCGGGGCCGGGGGCTTTCTCCATATCCCCCCGTCGAGGGTCCACCCTGTGCAGCCTCCTCCTGTTGAAGCGCAGCCGCTGTGACTGCTGCATGTACTGGGCTGAGAGCAAGGGTCTGGGTGTTCATCGTCTTTGGGCCCAGCACCCAGCAGAGGGCCTCGAATTTCACTGGGAGATGAGCAAGGGAAGAGGCAAGGGCGCCTCTGGGGCCCCTGGCTGGGACAGTGGCTAGAGAGTTTCCGGTTAACAAAGGCGCCAGGGGCAAGGTGAGCAGGGCTGGAGGGTCCTTTGAGCTGGCGGCATCGGCCCATCCAGGTGAAATTCACCCTGCTCAGAAGAAGGTGCTGAATTCACAGAAGCTGGTGAGCAGCCAGCACTTGGTGAGCAGCCAGCACTCTGGCGGTCAGAGTTGGCACTTGGAGTGGGTGTGTCAGTTCAGACAGCTAAACAAGCCTTCTTGGATTGGTTATTGGAGAATGCGTAGCTTGTGAACCGGATTCCTCTATTTTGGCTAAAAGTCATTTTCCCCCTTTATTCCTACAGGGATCTTACCTCTTAGCAGCTTCAAATGATTTTGCGAGCAGAATCTGGACTGTAGATGATTATCGATTACGGGTAAGTCCGCATTCAGAAATCCATCTAATCTCCAACCCGCACCTGGTTATCGAGACATAAAGGTAGATGTCGGCAGGGTGGCGAGTGAGAGGGCTTGCATGGGTTTTCCTGCAGTCCGACTTGACTCGCCACACCCTTTCCTTCCTCCCGTGGAAAGTTTCCACTTTGCACTCCCGCTTTGTCCAAGATTCCACTTCAGAATATCTGCAGTGTGACCCCCCGCGTTTCCACAAAGGTCCCGGGATACTCCAGTTCCTGAGAATGAGGTGCTCTGACAGATTGCGAGTTGAGCTGCACTTCAGAGATTTTAGCACCAGCACGTGTGGTGTGGTTCTCGAGGGTCCCGCGACTTACTCGCCCCGTCGCAGAGTCTTCATTAGCTGTAAAGTAGGATGTAGACACGCAGACGGATGCACTTTCTGTGAAGGTCAGCCTGGTATGTGACAAAGCGGCAAAACATCTCTGAAAACTTAATGCTGGAAAACGGGAGGCGGGGAAGGGAAGGTGAGTCGATGGGGCCAGATGTTGGTTGAACCCAACTGAAGCCGCTTGGCATCCTAGAGACAGACCAGGCGTGATGGTTATTAGATTGTGTTTGTTGTACTAGTGAAAAGTACAGCACTGAATTTGCAGAGGTCTTTTTTCTCTCGGGCTTGAAGGACTTTTCACATCAGCAGCTCATTAAGTAAACGAGGCGAGTGAATGATACAATGGCGAGTGACTTCCATCTTGGTAGGCATTTTACAAAAAAAAAAAAACAAAGGCTTGATACGATGAACTTCTTCCAGGTAAATCTCAGGGTGCTGGGAGAGCTACAGTAGAATGGTCCATTAGGTGGGTGTTATGGATTGAATTGTGTCCCCTAAAAATAAGTGTTGTAAATCCTAGCCTCTAGGCCTGTGGTTATAATCCCTTTTGGGAGTTGTAATGCCTTTGTTATGTGAATGAGGCAGGATTGGTGTAGCGTGTGTCTTGAGACAGGCTTTGAACCAAAAAACCCAACCCTGATGACATAAGTCAAAGCGATATTCAGGTTGTAGGGGAAGGGTTTCTCTGTTGGCTCTGGGGGAAGGAGCTTGTCTCTTCTAAACTTCTGTTAGTCGGTTCCTTGGTGATCTTCATGTGGCTTGGCATCTGTTTTCCCCCATCTCTGCTTTCTTCTCTGTCCTAATCTGCTCTTTTTATATCTCAAAGGTAATTGGCTTAAAACACACCCTACGTGGATATGGCCTCTTAACAAAAAAAACTCATTCCCAAATGGGATCGTTGTTGTTATGTGCCTACCAGTCGGTTCCGACTCATAGTGACCCTGCGTGCAACAGAAGGAATCGCTGCCCTCTCCTGCACCATCCTCAGTGTTGTTATGCTTGAGCCCATCGTTGCAGCCACTGTGTTGGTCCATCTTGTCAATAGTCTTCCTTTTCTTCGCTGACCCTCTACTTTACCTGGATATTGTTGTTGTGTGCCGAGGAGTCTATTCTGACTCATAGCAGCTCTGTAGGACAGAGTAGAACTGCCCCATAGAGTTTCCTAGGCTGTAATCTTTACGGAAAAAGGATCAGATCCCTGGTGGTGCAGTGGTTAAGTCCTCTGCTCAGCTGCTAACTGACAGGTCAGCTATTCGAACCCACCAGCCGCTCCTGGGGAGAAAGACCCGGCAATCTGTTTCCGTAAAGATTACAGCCTTGGAAACCCTATGGGGTAGTTCTACTATAGGGTCCTGTAGGGTCGCTAGGGGTCAGAATCAACTCAACGGCAGCACATTTGGTTTTTTAATCTTTACAGGAGCGGATCACCAGTCTTTTTTCCACGGATCGGCTGGTGGGTTCGAACCACTGACTTTCGGTTAGCAGCCAAGTGCTTAACTACTGCACCACCAGGGCTCCTTCAGCCATGGGTATGGGGGTTAAGATTTACAACTCATATTCTAAGGGGACACAGTTCAATCCCTAATACCAGGTAAGGTAGGTAGATGAGGAAACAGGTCCAAGAAACCTACGGTCACACTGTTAACGAATACTAAGATTCGGGTTTCAGGAGGGGCCTGGACCATCTAGGCTGAGATAGAGCAAGGCTGAGCAGTTACTGAAGGGGCTGTATCCAGCCTTCTGTACCTCAGTCCCTCTGGGAAGCAAAGGAGCCAGATGAGCGTCTGCCATTGTGCAGGTGCTGTTTCTTAGTGGTTAAGGAGGAGCTCTGTGCAGGTGGCATCAGCCGTTGGCTCTGAAATAGCAAGAAGGAGACCTGGAGGCAGGGGACAGACCTGACCTGGAAGAGAGGGCACATGTTAGGAAACTTCCCAGGTGAACTAGGTTTAGATTGCAAAGGTGGGCCAGCATCTCGTTGGAGAGGGTGCTCTCCGTGTGTTGGAGCACCCAGCTTTCACTGGTGGGGCTGCTGTTGCTGAGTTCCCAGGAGACTGTGCTGGATGCTGGATGAGTTGGCTTTATAGGGCCTCCAGTCTGCCCATGCCCTGGTCTCTTCTTCCCGAAGTAAGTGTGTGAAGTTCAGGAGGCCTTTCCAGCAGGTTCTCCATACCCAACTCTCATGAAAGGCTAACCAGGGTTCGGGATATGGGATAGGTTCCGTCTTTAGGGGCTCCGGGCTCCCCCTTGGCCCCAGTTAACAGGTGATGTTGAAGGACACGAGGGGGCCATTGTCAGTGTCTCCTTAGCTTTTACGGTAGGCGGGTGGTATAGAGAGCGACCAGACTTCAAGAAGCGGTTGGTTGTTTGAGTGCTTGCTTTAAAGTCATTTTGGTAAACTTAGCCTAGAAACAGCTTGTACTGCAAGGAACGTCTTCCCTAAAATCTAGCAAGTCCGTTGAAAGCCACCTGGTGGTTGTGTACGATCCGAGGTAAGGAACTGCGTGGAAGGCCCCAGGTGTCACTCCTTCCTGTGGAAGTAGCCACAGTGAGGACTGGGTTTCAGGCAGTGGCTTTTACTTCACAAACGTCCTTGTCAGTGTCTGCAGTCTCCTGGAGTCGCTTGCCTTTGGTTGGTGTTGGTATTAGCTGTGTGATTCCGGCAAGCGGAACGCCTGAGGCTGCCTGAATGGGCAACTTGGAGAGTTAGTGGCCAGTGAGTAGGGTCTGCCGTGAGGGGCAGGAGGAGCCGAGCAGAGAGCCCACGAGAGAAAAGTAATCTTTGCACCTCCCCGTTTTGGGGCTCAGGCTGCTGTGACTTCTGAACCTACTGCTCCACCTTATCTCACCCCTGTTTAAAAGTGGAAGATAAAACCCAAAAATAGTGTTGAAATCAAGTTATTAAAAATAAAGATCAAAAACACTGAGTAAAGGATTTTAAATCAGCATGTTCCACTTCCACCAAGGGCTGTTTAAGTGGTGAAGGCGAGTGCTTGTGAGAGGCCAAGTTCAGAGCAGAGAGAGCACAGAGGGCCCTGGCCAGCCCCGGGCGAGTGCACCCCGCTTTCCACCAAGGGCTGTTTAAGTGGTGAAGGTGAGTGCTTGTGGGAGGCCAAGTTCAGAGCAGGGAGAGCACAGAGGGCCCTGGCCAGCCCTGGGCGGGTGCGCCCCGCTTCCCACCAAGAACAAGACAAGGAATGTAAGACTGGAAAAAAGTGAGGTAGTCTATACGAAGGGCCAGAAAGTAAAAATGGCCCTTTCCTTTCTTCCACGAATCCAGCAGTTTCATTCCTGGGACCAGGTCAGGAGACAAAAGCTCTGTGCTCTGAGACGTCCGTTGCAGCCTCATTTGTGACAGTGATTCTTAGAATGACCAAGGTGTCTGCTGGCCAAGGAGGTTTTCATTAAATTGTGGTCTCATCGTCTGAGATTATTTAGCCATTAAGTACTTATGAGGACGCTTAAAGCAGCAAGTGTAAAAGGCCAAAGTCGAGGCCATCAGCTGTGCCCCGTCCACGCCGCCCTTTGTTGGGCCCTTCCTGCCGCTGTGTGAGGAGAGCTGGTGGCTGTCTCAAAGCCCGGACAGCCAGAACCAACCAGGATGACACCAGAGCTGCCCATGAACAACTGCTCGTGCTGCAGCGTTAAAAGAGCAGTGGATGCATTTTAGGAAGAGTATAACTGGGAAAATAATTAATATGTGCACTTAAAGTACAGGTGGTCCCTAGGTTGCGGACAAGGTGCGTTCCCAAGTCTGTCTGAAGTCGAATTTGTAGTCAAGTGGGAACAGGTGCTTGTGGTTCTTATTTAGCGTCCGTTAGTCCAGTGTTTGTCTTAGTATATAGTATCTATTTTACCTCTCTGTGCATAGAAAACAAACACTTCCGAATACATTGAAATACCAAACAGCAATACAGTACGTAATAATAATAATACGGTAATAATGAGAGTAACTACACGTGGTACCATACTGAAGAGACAGAACCTGTGCGCGTGTGTGTCTGTATATGGGGATGCAGTCCTGTAAGAAAATTAAAGAAACACTTCTTAAAACAGTTTAGATAGAATAAAAAAGATCATAATTAAAAGTTAACGCATACCAACCACTGTATTTAACTCAGATTTTTCATACAGTAGGCTTTGTGGTGGTTGTTCTTTACGAATTGTCCCTGAGTAACCCGGGGACTGCCTGTGTGCAAAAAAGTGTTAGCATAGCCAGTTGTGATATCTTTTTCCTCCCGTTATTTGTGCAATGTGAGTTTACTTTTATTTACTGTAAGTATAGAAGTATAGTAAGAAAGTATATTAAAAAGCACAGAGCTTTTTAAATTTTGATAGTGATTCATTAAGAACTTACATAACATGAGAAGTCCCAAGTTTTCTGTCTCTCCCAGCGATTTACACAGATTGGGTGATTTTACACTGCAGGTACTGTATTTGGTGTAATCCAAAATGCGTTGTTGCTGGGAGCTTTCTCGATTCTTCCTGAAGGATGAGTGGGAGGTTTTCACCCAACGCAGCACACAGCTGCCACCTGGCGACAGCAGTTGTAAGAGGCTAAGTCTTAAATCCATAAAAATGCCTGCCTTTGAGGGCACGAAGCGTCTGTGGGCCCACGTGTCCTGTCCTGTACTGAAGCGAAGTTGATCCACTAAGAACAGAGGACAGATTGATTTTTAAAATTTTAAAACTAACCCGTGAGGTCTTGTCTTTGGGACTTGGGGTTGGAACCCAGTTAAGTTAGCAGTTGTAAGAAGTATTAATTGGGTCTTTGTAAGGCATTTTTTAAAATTAGAAAACATCAGTGGATACTTTCTGAGCCTTTGGGGTTTTACGAACATTAACCATCTTGACCACGTGTTGAAAAGAGGTCCGTGATGACTGGTAAAAGGTCTGACCGCCCGGATTCCCCTGCACTCTGCCTGTCCCCAGCCGCCCCCCTCCCGTCAGGCTCCAGTTGTGCCGTGATGGGCAAAGGCAGCTGACAGCTGGTGGTGCCCCATCCTGTGTCCCTGCAAGCTCAGGGAGACGCCATGCTTGGCGCCGAACAGCACAGCGACAAAGGGATTCGGACACTGGGAGTGCCGGGGTCTGAGGTGATGATCTGCCCTTTCCAAGCTGAGGCCTCTGACTGCAGACCCCTGCAGGTCTTAATTGTTCTTGTAAGGAGCACTGCCTGCAGTGACCCTGCGCTTCCCGATTTTAACAGGCAACTGACAGGTACTGTGGCAAAATTCCAGGCTTTAAACAAGTTTTGTTTGACATAATCCAAAAAGGAGTTGCAAGGACAGTACAGGCGGGTCTGTGACAGAACTTATTTCAGAAAGGTCGTCTGACGCCCCTCCTTTTTTTTTTTCAGGGGAAGGCAGCTGAGGTTTGGTGCTAGTATGTGTTAGATTTTGTAAATGTTCTTTTTAGTGGGCGATTTATCCTCTGGGTCTTGATATCTCACCTGGGCAGCACCCAAGGTATAGTCTCTGGGACCTTCCCCAGCTGCTCAGCTGGCCAGAAACTGCTTCATGTTAGCACATGGCTTCTGTGGTTCCGGATCCTATGTTTCTTTTCCCTTTGCCCTCTCGTCGTTGCGTCTCTGACTATTCCTGACTGTCTCCATGTTTGGGGACCTGACTCACTGGAGCAGCAAGCAGGTGACGCCTGCAGCTGACGCTGTGGCTGTGTTCTCTCCTAGCACACGCTCACGGGTCACAGTGGGAAGGTGCTGTCTGCCAAGTTCCTGCTGGACAACGCTCGCATTGTCTCAGGAAGCCACGACCGGACCCTCAAACTCTGGGATCTCCGCAGCAAAGTCTGTGAGGAGACTCCGTCTGTCTATATGAGCGCTAGACATTTGCTGTGGGCGTGTCCGCTTGCCACGTCATCGCCTATGTTTAGTGTGCTGAGTTTCGAGTCCAGTTTTGTATTCAGTGTGGGGCTGGGGTAGTGGCAGCTTTGACATCTGAGGCTTCAGTCACAGCAGTAATCCTGATGCCTGATGGTTAGAGGGGCAGTGGTGTTATACACACAGCCACGCGGGTGCCTCTGCTTGATTCAGATGTTTGCTTTTCTTTCAGGCATAAAGACGGTGTTTGCAGGATCCATTTGCAACGATATTGTCTGCACAGAGCAGTGTGTCATGAGCGGACACTTTGACAAGAAAATCCGTTTCTGGGACATCCGGTACAATACCCGAGAGCTTAGTGGGGGCAGATGGGCAGGTCCTGTGGCGGTGGAGCCGTGGTGATGTTTGGTATATGGGCTGTGGTTTTTAACTCTCTGGAAGTGGCAGGAACGAGCTCCAGTAGATATTCTTTACCGCGAAGTAGACTCTCCAGCTCAGCAGTCATTTATCAGGCACGTGCTGTGTACTCGGCACTTTACCTGCTGCCGGAAAACAAAGACCAGCGAGATCCTCTTCAGGTGGTTTGGTGGTTTGACAAAAAGTCGTGGTGTACGGGGCGCTGACTGGAGATCGGTGCCTTTGTCCAGGCGTGTTAAAGAACAGCTATCAGGGCTAGTCCTGAGGGGTGAGGCGGCTTCACGCGACAGAAGAACACTCGCCCCAGACAGCAGAGCAAGCTGATGTGGCTGGAACCTGGCCGGGGGAGGCGACGGGCAGCTGAGACCAGTGGAGTGGGTAGAAATGATGCCAGTTGGCTAGCAGCCCTGGTTAGCACGTGCTAATCAGATGCACCGGTTGGCACTTAGCTTGTCTTTCCAGAAATGGACAAGGAAATCAATTCTTAGGAAATTTGGATTCCTAGACTCACAACGGCCCTCGGCTCTGTTGAGGGGGTGACAGAAGTCGTCCCTAGGGTGTTTTCCTAGGGTCAGGGGACACCCGCGGCCCTGGGAGAGGGTGTGTTCTGGCCGAGCAGCTGGGCCTTTTCCCCTCGTGACGTGATGAGGGGAAAAGTTCTGACCCTCCTGCGTTACACGTCCTCACTGTGTCTCTTAGGTCAGAGAGTATCGTCCGAGAGATGGAGTTGCTGGGGAAGGTGACCGCCCTGGACTTAAACCCAGAACGCACGGAGCTCCTGAGCTGCTCTCGCGATGACCTGCTGAAAATTATCGATCTACGAAAAAACGTCGTCAGGCAGTCGTTCAGGTGACAAGAGACGGACACGCCGGCTGGGCGTCCTTTAAGTCTTACAGGTTTCTGCAGCCCAGGGGCCCAGGCGTGCAAGCTGCCTGGGTCATGGTACCTATTGTTTGTTGCAGCGCCCCTGGCTTTAAGTGCAGCTCCGACTGGACCAGAGCCGTGTTCAGGTGAGGAGGGCCCCCTGCTGGGCTCATCTCCAGGTGGGAGCCAGGGCTCTGGCCCACGGGGACGCGGAGCTCAGGGCTGCGGTGCCCCAGCCCGACTGCAGGAGCCAGGGCCCCACTGGAGGCCGCCCTCTGTGCCTTACCTCTCTAGCGTCTCTTTTCCATGAAGATGAGTGTGTTGTACAAAAAGTAGCAGCTGGCTGGTTGCTTGGTTCTGGTGAGCACAGCTGGTTCTCGTCTCTTCACCCGTTTCCTTAGGAACCGCATGATAGGTGGGCGGGTGAGCACTGGGGCTGGACTGCACGGGCACGTTCCAGGGTGGGCCGCACATCCTTCTTCCTGGATCGCGCACCTTCCGACTGCGTCCACTGGCGGTTCCCGTGTTCTGGAGACGATTCTCCACAGTCGATCCTTCTTTTCTGTTCTCCTGCCCTCCTTTCCTGGAGCCATGTAACAAGGCTTCAGTTACGGAAAGGTTTAGCCATGGTGAGGGTGGCCGTGGAAGTGCATCCCTCAAACCCTGAGTCTGAAATCACAGGGTGAGGTGGACCTGGCCTTCAAGATGAACAGCACGTTGTGATCTCTGGGTGCACGGAGGACAGTCCTGTGTTTGACTCTTAAGTGAAGACCCAGCGTTACTTCTCAGGAAGAGGCGATGGGGACGCTGATTTGAGGTTGACAGCTTCTTTTGCTGTCTTCTCTAGCCCTGACGGTAGCTTCGTGACCGCAGGCTCAGCTGAGGGCTCTCTCTATGTCTGGAGTGTGCTCACGGGGAAGGTGGAAAAGGTCCTTTCCAAGCAGCACAGGTATGCGAATCCCGCCGGCCCCTCAGAGCCTGGGGATGGGTGCATGGCTGTCTTCCCAGGAGTCGTGTCCTCATCGGGCTGGGGCCTGCCTCCAGTGACCAGTCAGCCCCTGAGCAGGCTCACCTGGCTGCTTGAGAGAAGCCAGGGCTGTGCACGTGGTACTCTTCTGGGATTTTCTATTCAGACGACAGTTTTCTGCCTATGTATTCTACAAAGTATCCCAGCTACAGCAGTGGGGGCTGCTGGAGCAGAGGCTAGAGAAATGTTCTCAGTCCATCTCTTCTTGTCTAGCATGTGCTCCCCCTCCTTCCCCTTCTCTCCGCCATCTCTCCCTGGTGAACTGCTTCTCTTCTCTCGCCCATCTGCCTGCCTTCTCTCATTGGTGAGCTGCTCTCTTCTCTCCTCCCTCTGCCCTCCATCTCTCCCTGGTGAGCTGCTTCTCTTCTCTCCCCCCTCTGCCTGCCATCCCTCCTCCCTCTGTCCACCGTCTGTCTGGTGAACTGCTTGTGGCAGTACATTGCCTTCCTCTAAGCACTGATTCTCATGCACGTCTTTTTACCTTCTACTTAATAGACAGCCCCTGGGTCCTTTTTGTCCTTAGCTGTGTCCTGCCCATCCAAGCCCAGCTGCTGGCTAGAACGCAGACACCAGGTCCCCTCAGCCTCCCTCTCGGCATCTGAGTGCTGTGTGCTCAGCAGCGGCAGGGTCCCTCTCAGGCCTGGCCCTCCCGGCCTCACTCAGCCCCTCGCCCAGCCCTGCTCCTTGGAGGCATGCATGCAGCATCACTGAGCTCCCTTTCCCCTGCGCTCAGAGCCGCTCCCGTTGGGTGAGCTCGGTAAGGCCTGGCTGCCAAAGAGGCCAGACCCTCCCATCCCGGAACTCCTTAAAGAAGTGGAGCGCAGGCTGCTCCTAGGCTCCTTGGCCAGCCTGTGAGCGTGTGCGTCACTGGGTGGAAGGGTGCGGGAGGCCAAGTGGCCAGGATCCTGACGTGCAGCGTCTGAGCTCTCACCCCCGTTGTCCTGGTTTCTTCTCTTGAAGCTCGTCCATCAACGCCGTGGCCTGGTCTCCCTCTGGCTCACACGTCGTCAGCGTGGACAAAGGAAGCAAAGCTGTGCTGTGGTCGGACTACTGACAGGCCCCGGTGCTGGGAGCGCAGGTGCCCCTGCTGGAGGACTTGAGGGGGACTTGCGGGGCTGTGACGTGGGCTGCTGCCTGGACTTGGGGAGCGGCGTCCAGGCGGCATGCCCAGGGGCCTTGCTCTGAGAGGATTGCTGAGGATGGTGACAACGGCTCCCCGCCTGAGAGAGCCACACTGAGACGTGTGGCCTGCAGACATGGCCACAGGCCAGGCTCTTGCCTGTGGCTGCTGGGAAACACTACCGGCCCTCCCATACCTCACCGGGAGGCGGTCAGGCCCCGCTGGCTCCTCCCTGGGCCGCAGTGCCAACACACCCCCGGCCTGGGAGCCTGTCTCCTATGCTTCCTCCCGTCTGTCTGCCCACCGTCCGTTCTCGCCTGACGCATGTCAGGGGGCCCAGTTCAGAAACCAAAGCACAGGAACCTTCTCTCGGAGGAGGTGGGACCGTGGCCACCTCGGTAGTGTGCGTCTTTATCTTGGGGCTCTGCTCCTGCTCTGTCTCATTACTGCTGAAATTTCCTTGGGTTTTTTCAACTCTTCTTGGAAAAACATCTTTTCTTCAGAGCTTCTGACTCCCGCCCACACAAACAAACAATTCTACATATTGGTTTCTTGATATAGAAGTAAATCTCAATTTGATTTAAAAAAAAAAAAAAAAAAGATCCAGGGAGGAAGTGTGGGAATGTTTTTCCTGAGAAATGGGGGTGCTGCAGAGGTAGAGAATGTTCTGGGTAAGTCTGCAGGTTCCCAGAAGGGGTGCACACCCCGTTCTTTCAGGTGTGTCTGGATTACAGCCAGGCTGACAAGGGGTTCAGGCCCGGGAAGTATTAGTCCAGCTGCTTGGCCGGCCACTGCCGCTTTGCCAGGCGGGCATGCGGAGCTCTTGGTGCTTCCTGCCAGCCGCTCCAGGACGTGGGGTGATGGCTTCAGAAGGTGGGGGCTGAGATCGAGGCTGGGGGGAGATTGGCCTGTGAGTTTTTATCTTTACCGTTTTGCCTCTGTATAAAATCCTAGTTCCTTGTTTGAGTGTCAAAAGCTCCAATGGTTTTATCACTTTTTAATTTGCACTTTATTTTTTTTCCTTCCACACTTGTTTTCTGGAGGGGTGGGCGGAAGAGGACAGATACTGGGATGCCTCCTCTGCCGGTTTGCTCTTCAGGGGACTCGTGTTGGGGGGGAGCTGAAATTCACAGGCTAGGGCCACGTCTTCTTATTTATTTAATTATGTCGCCCGACAAACTTGGTTGTAAATAAACAGCAAAGCCAGTCTGCTCTGTACTGTCCCAGCTCTGCGCCTCCCGGTTGCCAGTTGATTCTCCTTTCTCCCTAGGAGGGGGGGAGCTCTGTCTCCATCCTGCTCCCAACACTCAGTCATTTGTAAATACTGCTTGGAGTCTTCCCTTGTATTCTTTTCAGCCCCTTCCCACAGATTACCACTCCCTCTAAACAGCGGCCTTCCCACATCCCATCAAAATCATCACTAAGACTGGGCAAGTGTCTCCACATTTTGCCAGGTGGGGTCGCTGTGAGTTGGAGTTGACTCAGTGGCAGCTAACAGCAACTGTGTAAGATGCCAGCCCAGCACGCTGGTCTCGCTCATCAGCTACCCCGCCGGCTAACACACGTGCTCTTGGTCCCGCAGCAGAGACTGCTCACAGGAGTGTCTCCTTTGGGCCTCCAGATGTCGTCTTTGCTAACGAGGCATGAGTTACCTTATGGAGGAGTGACTGATACCTAACAAGCAGCCTTGTGCCATGGCCAATGAGGACGCCCAGGAGTCCCCCGAAAACACCCCCAGCTATACAGGCTCGTGGCCACCCTGTGTTTACTGAGGGGACACAGCATCAGCTTAGCCCACCAGCTTGAGTCAGGGGCCACCAGAGATCTCAGAAAAGTGAATGAAGCCTTTACAGTCACTGTGACAGAGATGAGTGATTCCTAATATAGCCCCCAAATCAGCGTTACGACAGCCTCAGGTGATCCTGTTATCTGACCTTGGAGAGACGCGCAGCTCTTCCCTGCTTTAACACAGGACGGCTCAGTGTGATCCTTCCAACGGTGAAAGGATTGCTTACCTGCCAGAGTTGGTCTGAAGGGGTCACCCCGCAGTGCTTGTGACTTCCATCCGACCCGTGGCCCTTGACCATTGACCCTGTCCATCAGGCCACCTGGGCCTGCCCCAGTGCTGCTGACTGAGCCAGCGGGCCCGGAGCCAGGCACGGGTGTGCTCTCAATGTCCCAGCTGATTCTCTGCAGCCAGCGCTCAGAAGTGATGCGCTGCCTCCGAGTGTTGAGGTGCTGTGAACCCTTGTAAATGTCTGCTACGAGACTCGCTTTGATCCAGGCATGAACCTCTCAGAATTTGAGAATTAAAATCAATCGTTTTTCAATGAGCTTAGATCCCCTGGGTCCTTTCCTGAAGTAGCGGCTGCAAACGTCTACCGTAACAAGCTTATGACATGCTGGGGTAGTAGTAAAATGAGGCACAACCCTCAGATTCTGTAATTGTCTGAGTCACACCCCATTTCACAAGTAGGGAAAAGTTGCACAGCTAAGCAAGTTACTGGTCTCACCCTAGAACCCTGGCCCCGTGATGGGGACCCACCCAGGACAGGATTACCTTGCTTACCAGACTATCTGTAGTGAACAATTCCACGTTTTTACATCACTTAAAAGATTCTGCTTCTAGGTATGGCTGGCGTCTGTCTACCTCCAAACCCCGCAGCACCTTTTCAAATTTACAATCTCTTAACAGGGACGATGACCCAGTAAGGTAAGCACAGGCTTACTTGTGCCTACTTCCTAATCTGTAGTGAACAACTTCTCATGGGTTTCCGTGCTTACCTGTGGTGAAAAAAGATGTGAAATTGTTCACTACAGATTTATAAGCACAAATCAGCCCATGCGTACCTGGCTTACTGAGTAATCTGCCCCTGCCCAGCAAACCCAGGCCCACTGAATATAAAAAGCAAGACCCCAAAGCACGTGTCCCATCTGGAGAGACGAGGGTACGTCCCGCTCGCACTTGAAAGGGCCCTAGTGGTGCGATGGTGAACGGTTGGGCTGCTAATCCGCCAGCCGCCCCTTGGGAACCCTACAGGGCTGCTCTGTCTGACAGCCTCGTTGAGTCGGAATGGACAGCAACACGTTTGGTTTTTTTGGTTCCCACTTAGGAAATCTTGAGTAAAGTGAAATGTACCTAACCATGCATAGATCGTGTAAAAGCATATGGGTGTTATTCATGCCCGTGACCTTACCTGCTTCCCCTATCTCACCTCAGTCCCAGCTCTTCCCGTCTGTGCCTCTGAGCCCTTCCCTGTCTTTTCGTTCCAGGTGCTTCTCCCATCCCCCACAAGCTCGAGTCACTCCCCTGCTCCTCAAACGCCCCTACCCCGCCTCAGGAGCCTTCCCCTGGGCTTCGCCACCTTCATGTTTCAGCCCTTGACAATTGCCGGGCACTTCGAGAACACAGGAAGTGGGGTACATCAGAACCCAGCGAGGTGTGGTGAACACCCATGTTTCTGTTCCTCAACAGCTGAGTCAGTCTCAACCTCGCTATCCCCCCACCCCCTGCTCCTCCTGAGTGTTTTAAAGCAAGTTTCAAGCATGTCATTTTGCCTGTAAATAAGGACACAGCCCAAACTGGCAGACTCAGGGCCGTAGTTACCTGGGCTTCAAACCAGTTTGTTCCAGTCAAACCCCTGCTAAAATTTGCATTTCTAACAAGCTCCCAGGCTATGCTATCGCTGCTGATTCAGGACCAGTGCTGAGAGCCACTAGTAGAGCAGTGGTTCTCCAACTTTATTACACAGAAGAATCACCTGGGGATCTTGTTAAAATGTAGATTCTGATTCAGTATATCTGGGGTGGAAATGAGAACCGGTTCGAAGCCCTGATTATTACACCTGGTGGAAGTGACAGTAATCCATGATCATCCACCACCCAGGCCATAATCAGGTGTTCCTGGCTGTTCCCAACTTGTCTCTTTATCCTTGGTTTGTTCACATCAGGACCCATGACGGGAGGGTGACGAAGCATCCACGTCAGACGTCAGGTTCCCCTCTGGGGAGGACAAGGGTCAGTCTTGGTCCGGATCCTTCTGCTTCCACTTCGGAATCTTTATTTATATGCACATTTGATAAATCTCCCCAACCTTGCAAGACAGGGCAGGCGAGGGGCCCCTTCTACAGACGGAGAAAAGCAAATAGCATTGAGACCAAGCTACTTTCTCAAGATGGCGGTGGATTCATCAATGGGCCCCAGAACCCAGGACTCCAGTCTGGGGCCATGTGAACAACGTGCTCCTGGTATGTGGAAACCTAGGGCATTAAGTACTATTCTCGGGGCTCAGTGCTTTGAGTTGGACAGTTTGAAATATGTTTAGGGGCAGGAGCCCAGGGTAATGAGAGGATTTCAATACCTGTGAGGAATGTTCTAATCTAATCATGTTCTAAACATTCTAAGTTCTCTCCCTAGGTGGCACAAACAGTTTGCAGTCGGCTACTACTAACCGAAAGGTTGGTGGTTCAGACCCACCCAGCAGCACTGCGGAAGCAAGGCCTGGTGATCTGCTTCCATAAAGATCACAGCCAAGTGGATGAACCCCCCCAAAACTATTGCCCTGAGATAATAAACTTTAAACTTTAAGCTAAAAATATCCCCCAAAGTCTTCTTTAGACCAAACAGTAGTTTAATCAGTAATGAATGTTTGCCTGGATAGTTTTAAGGAACTATGTGGGAGCGAATTGACAACCACAACCCTGAAGGTTTAGGGAAGAAACTTGGCGGGCAGTGAGATTATGTTCACGGGGGAGGAACAGTTCAGAAAAGCAGGGTGAGAATGGTTTCCCAACTCGAAGAATGGAATCAACGTCACTGAATTGTCCATGCAGAAATTGTTGAATTGATGTATGTTCTGCTGTGTGTTTTCTCAACAAGAAAACATAGAAACTAAAACAGAAAAAAGCCCTGTTCCCTGTCACTCTTCATAAATACCAGTCACCTCAAACGTCTCAAGTCTGCTCTGTGTCAGTAAAACATGGCAATGAGGACCCCAAGTTTCCAGGCTGTAGCTGATGCCTGGCCCAGTGTACCGCTTTTCCTCGAGCATGTGCCCTAATAAACCCTTAAGACGCTCATCTAACCCCAAAGTCCATAAGCTCCTTACTGCACGCCCCCACCACGGCCCCCGCCTCCTGCGAGCTGGCTGGTGTGTTTAGCGTTTGGAAAGGGAACTCAGCTTGTAGCCAGCCCACTGGGGGCCGACCCCAGAGAGCAAGTCTTGCCATAGCAGTGGTTCTCAGACTTTGGGAATTCATAGACCAGTACATTTCCGAAAGAAATGTAGGGGAAGGTTGCCAACTCTTTCTTTTTGCTAAGTAAGGACTGCTTTTAAAAAAAAAAAAAAAAAAAAAAAAAAAAACCCTACCACCTACTTTCATCTTTATAAAATAAGGGACATGTTTGTCCCTGTGCTTAGGAGTGAATTCTTCAGTATTTATGGGGAAAAACTGGTACCAGTTGCTGTCAAGTTGAATTGGACTCCTGGTGACCCCATGTGTGTCAGAGTAGAGCTGTGCTCCGTAGAGTTTTCAAGGCTGCTTTTTCAGAAGTAGATCCCAGACGTTTCTTCCGAGGTGCCTCTGAGTGGATTTGAACCACTAACCTTTCAGTTAGCAGCCAATCATGTTAACCGTGTGCACACCCAGGAACTCCATTTCTGGGTAAAAGTGTCATAAAATCTGCAATTTACTTTCAGTGGTTCAAAAGGGCGAAATGATAGAAATACAGATGAGTACAGGCAGCAAAATGCTAATGGCCAAAGCGGGGCAGTGAGTGTGTGGGTGTTTGTTATATTGTTGTTATTAGCTGCTGTCAGCCCGTTCCTGCTCGTGGCGACCCCATGTGTGCAGAGTAGAACTGTGCTCCATAGGGTTTTCAAGGCTCTGAAGTAGATTGCCAGGCCTGTCTTCTGGGTGGGTTCGAACCATCAGCCTTTACGCTAGTAATGGAGTCCTTAACCATTTTCACCACCCAGGAAACGCCTACTTTTCTCTGTATTTTAAATTTTTATAGTAAAATTCTAGAAGAGGCAAAACTGTAGTGACAGAAGGCAAATCAGTGGTTTCCCGGGACTGGGGGGTCAGGGGCCAGGTTGACTGAAATAGGTGCCAGGGAGATTTGGGGGTGATGGAAATGTTCTGTGTCTTTAGTGAGGTGGTAGTTACACAACCGTATTGCCCAAAACCCACCAAACTGTACACTTAAAATGGGTGAGTGTCCTTGTATATCAAGTTACCTCAATAAAGACAGAGGAGAAAAAGAAGGACATTTTAATACCCAAAAGCAGAGAAACTCAAGATCTTGGGATAAAGGACAAGCCTTTATGTTGTCTATTTCTCTCATTTCTCCACCAAGCAGGGAGAAATTCACCACAGGCCAGGTTTGGG